AGATAGCATTTAAGAGATGATTTATCATGACAGAGTGATTTTAGTAGAGTGATGAGATGTGAAATCAGATGGATAAATGAGTAGGTAGTCACATGTTGGAAGCTGTAGATGCTGGTGGTTTTTTGCATGTGTTTGTTAGTGAAAGAGTGAAGAAATATTGGATGACAGCTTGAGGGACTTGCAAGGTATACAGGTTTTTGTTTTGTTTTTTTTTTAAAGAAGGGATGAGACCTGATTGTTTGCCTTCTGTGAAGAAAGAGACAATAGATAGGTAATGGTGCTTATGTGGTATAGGAATTTTATATTTCTTTCTTACAATACTTTTTTCCTGTGGATGGAGGGAGGTGGGAAGAATATAATGAATGCTTGATAATGATTGGTTGATTTTGTTGCATGCTTTTTTCTCTTTTTACATATTTGTCATAAAGGATGATTTACTGGGGAAGGGGTGGGGAGAAAAATATTAAAAATGAATATGGTGCAAAAAAACATAAAAATAAGATAAAATGGGGAGAATTTGAAAGTGAGAGAGAAAGAATGATGGATAAGTCAAGTTCTTGGAAGACATGCAAAGACACAGAATTCAGGATTCATGTACGGGGATTGACCCTATTAAGGAGAAGGCCACTACTTCCTCGCAGGCAGGAATAAAGGAAGAAAGGATAGATGTATGAATGGGTGGGGGCTCAGAACTAATACTCTTTCTTAATAAAGTGAGACATGAGGACATCTGTTGCAAGAGGGGTAGAGGAGGCACTGAAGGCTTTAAAAAAGAAAGAAGAGAATCGTGGCAGCTAGGTGGCGCAATGGATAGAGCACCGACCTGGAGTCAGGAGGACCTGAGTTCAGATCTGGTCTCAGACCACACACTTGACACTAGCCGTGTGACCCTGGGCAAGTCACTTAACCCCAATTGCCAAAAAAAAAAAAGAAAAGAAAAGAGAAGAAAGAAGAGAAGCTTTGGAACACCTTCTGGGGGGAAAGAGAGCAAATGAAAAAAAGTACAAGAATTGAGAGCTCATTTGAGAAAAGATAACATCAATTTGTAGTGGACCTGGTCAGTATGATGATGTGCCTTTCTCTAGCAGTGTTCAGTAGTAGCTCAGGAGTATGATGGATCTAGTCTGCCTAGGTTGCAGAAGGAGGGCGAATCTCGAAAAAAGGGTTGTCAGGTCATGAATGGTGGTAGGACAAAGGAGTAAAACACAATGTATATTGAAACTGGTCAGCTCTAGAGTTGAGTCAAAACAAAATGAGGTCATAGTACAGGTGATGGAATAAGACAATGGGAATGGATGGAAGGAGGAACAGGACATTATAGGGAGAATAAAAGAAAAGTTTAGGAGAAGTTAGGCAGAAGGAAACACTGAAGGGCAGGAGGCTGTAAATAAAAAGGGTAAACTTTGAGCTCAGAGTGTTGGCGATAGATGTATTAGTGGTATTGGTTATTAATAATCATGAGATCTTAAGGTCCAACCATCTCTGTGGTTAGCTGAGGTACAGTGAAGATGTAGGTCATAGAAACTGAGAAGAATGATAAATGTGGAGGCAATGGACATCAACATGTATGTCCTGAAGTATGCAGGAAGCAACCATGTAGCAAAAGGAGAAGGAAGAGAGAAAACAAACATTTATTAAACACCTAAAATGTGTCAGGTATCATGCTTTGAGCTTTTCAAAATCATTTGATCCTTACAGCAGTCCAAAGAGGTAGGAATTGTTATTATCCCTATTTTACAATTAAGGTAACTGAAGCAAACAGAGGTGAAATGACTTGTTCAGGCTTACATAGCTAGTTAAGTTTCTGAGGCTGGATTTGAACTCCTGTCTTCTTGACTCTAGGCCCAGATTTCTATACATTGCACTACTTATCTGCCTCTATATGGTGGGGGGGTTGAATGGAAGATACTCTGAGCCAGGTGTTGAACTCTTTGAGGAGAGAGAATGACCTGGAGGCTGAGAGATCACAGTAACAAAGATCTGAACTGAATGAAAATTGATGGAGTTTACCTCACAGGAAGAGATGGTGCTGAACGATCATTTAGAGGGAGAGTTTGGAAATGAGAATGGGGACCAAGGAGTAGACTCACTCCTCCTCCTGGACCAGTAAGTCAAAGGACATGAGAACAGGAGCAGTTAACACTGGAGAGAGTATCCAGAGCCTGGTCTCCACCCTCCTCCTCACCCCTCTTAGTATTTTTAAGGAAAATGGAAAGAGGGTGAAGAGATCAAGGATGAGGAGAAGGTTATTTGAGTAAGTGTTTCAGAATGGAGGTTCCATCTGCTACACAGTACTTCCTTTTTTATCTGTAATTCTCAGGAAGGTCCTATTCACAGGCAACTACTTTCACTGAATGGTTTTTGATGAGAAAGTGACCATTATGTGACAGACGCTGAGCTAAGTGCTTCACCTCATTACCTCATTTGATTCTCAGCAACCTGGGAGGCAGATGCTCTTATGATTCCTATTTTACTGAGGAAACTGAAGGCAGACAGAGGTTAAGTTATTTGCCTAGGGTCACACAGCTAGCAAGTATTTGAAATAAGATTTGAGTTCAAGTCTTCCTGACTGCAGGCCCAGTGCTCTATCCACTGTGCCATGTAGTGACCCCAAAAGTTGGAGTGCTAAATGACCTGCTTGCTCTGAAATATTATAGGTTTGTCATAGCACCTGAAATTCCCATCAAGAAAGTCAGTTCTTTAGTTTAAGAAACTTTATAAAATTGCTACTGTTACCTGAGAGAGGTCACATTAATTTAATGGGAGCATATACCAAATACCACCATATATTATTAGATTAGCAGAGAGAATAGTGTCTTAAAAGGAGTCACAGAATAAGTAACTGGGGATTCTGGAAAGTGAAACTTAGAAAAGATAAAGTACAAGGGACTTAAAGAGGCCAGGGCAGGGGTGGCAGTATGGTTGGAGTAGGCAACTCAGAATGCAAGAGTGTGGAGATGTCCAAAGGGACAGAAAGCATCATCAACTTCATAGTTTTGTCTGCTGTTGGTTCTCTGTAATTAAATTTAGATGACATGAAGATATTGGAGAAAGAAGTTTTGTTGATAGTATATTTCCACATGGAGGGGCAGTGTGGAATAGCAAATGGAATGCTGAATTTGGAGACAGGAAAACATGGGTTTGAATCCTGCTTCAGATACTAACTGTGACACTGGACAAGTCATTTACATTTCTCAGCCTCAGCTTTTTCATTGATAAATGTGAATATAATACTACCTACCCCACAGTGTTATGAAGATCAAAGAAGGCATTGTATATAAAATGTTTTACAGACCTTAAAGCAGTATTTAAATGTTAGGTGTTACCCATTATTATATTTATCTGGTGGGGAAATACAAAAAGGTAGACAATCACTTGTCACTAATCATGGAGCTGGGTGTTATACTACATAACATATAGTTCTTTTCAATTATAGAATTCTATGATTTATGAAATTCTGGTGGATACAAAAGAGAGGGCAAGCATCAAGCAGAGGTGGAATAAGAATGAGAGATGTTTTTAAAGGTGCCATGCTAAAAAAATATTTCCTTCAACATCTGAAATTTTCATGATCAGTCATTCTTTGAAGATCCTCAGGAAAAAAAAAAAGTTGATCTTAACTGGGTTAAGTCCTTATATTTTCTGGGAGGAGAAACATATTAGTAGAGATGTTTATTGAGTTAATTTCGTGACTACTTCTGTGGATCAGATCTAGGATTCCAGGGACAGAGTTGAAACCATGCTCACCTTATGCACACTGTAATGTTTATTGATCACATACAAATCACCCTTCGAGCTCCTGTTTACTTCACATTCTTTACCTAAGACCCAACTAGATTCTGGATTATGCCCTAGTTACCTGCTTTACTGCTGATAGATATGTAAGTTTCTTTTTTTTTTCTATTAGAGAGCTCATTAAAAATGAATAAATAAAACATTTTACATGACAACAGTCTTGTCTCAATAGCCAATCATGAATAACAAGTACCATTCTGGTTTTATTTTTTATCAGTTGCTTGATCCATTTATAAAACAGAGTTCTTTCAGATCAATAAAGCTTTAGTTGATTTCCATTTTTACTATCTGAATAGAAGACTCCATATGGTACTTTACATTTTCTAGAAAGCTAGCTACTCAAGTAAAGTTTGTTTTTTATAGTTTTCTATGAGTTTGGTATGATTTTTGTAGTCAGTAATTTGTCTAAACATTTTTTAAATGAAATGAAGTGATTACAACATTCATCTTATGAAAAAAATAAGTACGATGTACTTACATTGTACATGAAATTATTGAGGACCATCAGCTAGAGAAACTGTTATAAGCTGGTACCTGTTTTGATCAAAACACTGGATTCCATCATTTTAACACTTACTTTTAGTGATGTCAAATATTTATTAAGATACATGAAACTTGAGAATATGTTGAAAAGCTCAATGAAGATGTTTAAAGCAAGCTTGCAAGATAAACCACTAAGGAATCATTAGAGGGAAGACTGCCAGTCTTCCCGGAATAATCTAATTGGTTTTTTAACTCTTGATTTTTTCCCCTCTCATATTATAATGAAATACCAGGGTGTATAGAATAATATAATCAAATAATAGAATACTTTAAAATAATAGAAGTTAAGTTTCACATGTGTGAAACTTTAAAAAAGAGCTCTAATTTCTGTTGGAATTTTGTATTCTCTAACAGACTGACCAGGCTGAATTCTAATATCTTGTATACCTGTAATATTTAACCAATGCTTATAGGTTCATGTGATTCTAGATACAGCTTTTCTTCCTGTAGTGTTCCCATATTTTTGTTTTATAAACATTAATTACCACGAGTTCAGAGTAACTGTTTTCCTTCACAAATTTCATACCAATCTGCAATCTCTTCATTAGAAAGCATCACTCAATTCTACTTTCATCAGTCTTGGGTCTATTTTAATACCTATTAGTTGTTCAGGAGTAAAACCAGAGTTTCTTCACTGAACCTTTCCTTTTTGCCTTTCTTAGTGCCCAGCAGAGAAGCAGTCAGGTTCACAAGAAGAGTGCAGTTGGAAATCAGGTAGGAATTTTGTAAGAGAATCACTAACTGCATGCTTGAATGAACTGGAGCCAAATTGCTTTATTGACAATTTTTTGGATGCAAATAATTTTATGCAAATTCTGCTTGACACGCAGCTTGTGTTTCACCTTTTAAGTTTGCAGAATGAAATATAGTTGTTTCATTAGTTGTTTTGTGCTGCTAACAGTTCGATTTCTTTTTAATAACTTCTGCTATTGGCATAGCTTTTTGAATTTCCACTTCCTATCCTCTATGTACTATTTTACCTGCTTATGTTACCCCTAAATTTAATTTGATGATCACTGAATCTGTGAGTCAGTTCAAGGATAAAGTGCTGGTGAGTACTTGCATGGGCTTTCTGGTGCTGCTTACTAGTTCACACATTTGCACAGCTTGGTAACAGTGAAGGGACAGCTCATAGAGGAAGGCCGTTGCAACTTGATTTGCTCTTTGTCAGAATTTCTTTTGGTTTTATGAAGATGTTAATTATAAACCTTGATTTGGTCTTTAAAATATTCATCCTTTAGGTTGATCAGCTGTCTCTGACTAATCATCGCGCTTTGCAGAGATTGCATTAACTAAAAAGTTTGCTGTTTCTGTTATGTTCTGTGTGATAATGAATATTTGCATTGTTATTTCTTTTCAAGTCAAAACAATGAGGATTCTGTAACTAGTGTCAATTTTCATGATGCAGAGGAATGGTTAATAAGATAAATGAGAACCTCTGGGATTGAATTTTATGATTTTCATTGTTTTGAAGGGAGAAGGAATAAATGACTCAGATTTTTCTCTAGAAACTTTTTTTCTTAACTAAAACACAATTCTTTGCTATTTCAGGGAACCAATCTTCCGCCTTCAAGGCAAATTGTACGAGCTAAGTTCTGTAAGCTTTACTGTTGCTTTTTCATTCAGCTTCCCCAAGTGCAAAGTTTGTCTTTAACTAATTAACTCAACTAGCGCTTGCTACTAATTTTTTTTAAACTTAGGCTGTCTTCTCTATAACATCCTCTCACTGAAATGAGAACCTTAAGAAGGTTCATCCCTTCACTGCTAATAACTTGCTGTGATTTAAAAGTATGAACTAGTATAATGTAATATGCTATAGTATTAAGCCATTAACACTATGGATGCTTTGATATTCCTCTAATTCTCATGGGTCTTATAATCATTAAAATCATTAATTGACTAAAACTTCTATCCTTTTATGCTTTATTGTTATAAGGCATAAGTTTCCCACTCCTGATTTATGATATTTCTAATAAATACAAACTATGTTTCTTGGAAAGGTGGATGGATTTTCTGGCATCTGATTTTTTTGTGTGTGTATTGGTACCAAAACTCCATTTCACTAAAGTTCATGAAAATAAATAGGGAACAGCAACCTTAAATTGGGTGACATTTCGCATGAATTAAGATCTAATCTTTTTAAAGACAGTGATAGGGAAAGGGACTAGGCCTGTGAATTCTTTGGCATAGGAAAAGCCAGAGAACCTTAGAACCAACATTCTGTGGGTGCAGAAAGACTGCTACATGACCTTTGACTTCACATGGGCAGAAGGGATTCTGCTGAGATTTTTTCTTAGACCATTCAAACTTAATTTTTAGCAGGGATAAAGTGAAACCTGAAGTTTGAATGAGAAAGTCTCACTTTCCATTAAAGTATGTATATATACTGTTTGAGAACAAAATGAACTTGTTCCTTATCAATTCTATGTTATTTAATGAAGCTTTTGAAAGGAAGAGATTAGGTATGCCAACATTGTTACCATCATTAAAAATGAATTTTTTAAAAATAAAAATCTACAGCAAATTATTCTGAGGAGACTAATATGCAAATCAAGATTTTTTTCTCTATGCAAAAAACTTATTCGTATTCATGCAACAAACAATAAACATTAAGTACTTTTGTGCCAGGGCTGAGAATACATTCAGAGACAAAAAAAGTCACGCCTGCCTTCAGTGGGCTTACATTCTAGGGTGTAAATGTATATCCCTCTTTTCTAACTTGAAAAATTCTCTCTAACTTCTAAAAGTATATGTGTATTATAATATATGCCATGTTATATGCACATATTTCATCAGTATCGAGAGGGAATGAAATGCAACATTTAGTTGCATAATAACAAAGTAAAATCATAATCATCTGTGATTTTTTTACTAAATAGTGTAATGCCACCTTTTAAAGAAGCTATAGCATTCTGAAGGATAAAACCAAAGCAATAGTGTCAAATTAGCATATACTATTTGTTCCAGCATTACTAGCATGTTATTATATACAATGTTATGTTGCAAATATTCCTTTGGGTTACTTTTTTTCTTGGCTTGACTACAGTGGGCTTTAAATTATGAAATGGAAAAACTTTATTTATGAATCTGGATGTTTGTGTTTGTATGACGCGGAAATGACTTATTACTGTGATGAGGTATTACTAGCTTTCTGTTTTCTTCTATTAACTTATCTTCTCACACTTCATCTTTGGCCTTTAATGCTGCCGTCTGAGGTTTTGACCTGACTTGGAAAGGTTTCTTTTTAAGCCACAGGTTAGTCTGTCTTCTAATATATTTGAAATAACAAAAGCAACCTTTTATTCAGCATCTTAGCTAGCAATTTTGACGACTGGAACAAGCTTCACAAAACACTCCCAGGGTAAGCAGCGTGGAAGTATTTCCAAATTAATTTATGAAGACAAATTAAGTTATCAGGGAATATTCTTTGACATAAAGCTTCATGGGGAAAGACATTCATGACATCATGAAACAAACTACTAGGGAGGTTGCACGTAGGTAGGAGCAGGGTTAGGCAGGGCTAAGGAGGATTTCACCTCTGAAATGGACCTACTGGTAGGTGACAGGTTGGATTAGAGCCATCTGGGAACTTCCTATTTTAACTAATTATCCTTGATAACTAGATACTAAGTTTAATTGTTTCTCTAGATGTTGAAAGAGTGCATGTAATATATATAGCACTGTCAATCTAGAGTAAAGCCCAACCCTATTTCCCGTTCAGCCTGTGTTTTACACAATGATTTCAGCTAGCAAGAAGGGAATCATGAAGACTGACCATTTCTCAACTATACATTGTTTTGTGGGATTTGTGTTATTGTTACTTGATAATTTTTTTGGTGTGTCGAATATTTTTCCTAGTGCCTTATTGAGTTTGACTTGTGGTAAGCATCCCACTATTGATTCTCTTATTAGAACTATTTATCCAATTCACTATGTAAGGATTATTTACATAATTCCATTTGTATTATAAAAGTGGCTTTTCTGATGAACATTGAAGTTATTTAAATGATCTAATGAATGGATATTAACCATCCCATTGCTAGCCAGTCAATCAGTTAGTCAGCTGACATTAAGTTCTTATTATGTGCCAGGCACTGTGCCATGTGCTAGAGATACAAAGAAGGGCCAAAACACTTGGTTCTCCAGAAGCTGGAGAAAAGAACTATGCAAACAACTACTTACAAACAAATGTTAAAACTGGGAGAGGAGGAGAAATAAGCTTCAATTCTCCCCATCCTTCTGCACCTTCCTGCCAAGCAATTCCCACTCAGTGACTTGGCTGGAACTGTTGTCTCCTCTATGTTAACAGATGCTTGAATGTCTTGGTTTTGAGCTCACTTTCCATTGCAGCATACATTGGCTTAATGCTCTTGATTAAATAGAGATAGTCACATCTGATAAAGGTTTTAGGGCTAGAGAATTTTGTCAGTTCTTTTAATTGGGTGAAGAGGGATTGAGTGTATCAATTGACTTCCTCTCTTTCCTTCCCCCCTCACATACTTATCATTAGTACTACAGTATATGATAACCAAAAAACATGAAATAATGTTTCTTGTGGCCTTTTGTTATATAGTAAAACCCACTCTACCAATTTTTCTTTGCTCCTCAAAAAGTACTTGTGAGTCATTTTTGGTTCTTGCTGCAACTTCCTTCTTTCTTTCGGTTTCACTTATAGTAGGAATGTCAAGATGGATTTAATTTACTTTCCCCAGCAATATGTCTATTCACTGGTAATTGGGAAAGGCTCTTACATTTAGAGTAGCAACAATGAAATTAAGATTTCTTGACAGTTTAAAACTTGAATGGAACTTTGCTGGAACTTTTTCACTGTCACTGTATAATCCAAAAGACTCCATATAGGAATGAGGGCCATTTAATTTTTTTTCTTGTTTTATGGGTTGCTTCTATCATAGTTTCTCTACTGTATTTTTACTTTAATTCTTTAAAATATTACAATTCAGCTTGGTTTTAGTTCTTTGCTTTAGGCAAGATAGACTAAAAATTGCATTTGATCGAGAGTCAGAAAATGTGTATTTGAGTGCCATCTTTGCTGTTTGTGTAACCATGAAAAAAATCACTTAATTTCTTTGGGACTCAATTTTCCCATCTGTAAAATGAGATGTAATCTCTAAGGTCCCTTCTAACTTATGAGGTATTGGAGTTTTATATTTCCCTTCAATGAGTATCTGGATTAAATATAGTATTACATATGTTGTCTGAGTACAATTAGACTAAACCTTCCTCATTCTGATATTTAAGATAGCATTATTTTTTTAAAACATTTTTTTTTTTAGCTGTGATGTTCTGTTGCTGACATTAAGCTTTCAGTCCACTAACACTTGTAGAATCATCACATCTGCCCTCTCCTCTACTCATGCTCTTGATTTTTTTAACCTCATTTAAGGACTTTACATTTAACCTTATTAAATCTCAACTTACATTGTCCTAGCCTATGAAAATTTCTCTGTCATTCAGTTCATCAGTAACTCCTCACAGCTTTCTGTCTTTCAGAAATCTGATGGCTTTGTCAAAGTTATTGTCTAGAATGTAAATTGGAATAAAGCAAAGGAGAGAGCTTTGCACATTTCTTTAGAGAGTTCCCTCCAGGTTGATATCTGTCCATTAGTCAGTACTCTCTGGGTCTGGTTATTCAACCAGTTCTGAATTCTCCTAACTACTATCATCCAGCCCAAATTATCTAGAGGCAACTAGGGGGCTCAGTGAATAGAGCACAGACCTGAGTTCCAATTTGGCCTCAAACACTTACTTAGCTATATGACCCTGGAAAAAATCACTTAACCTATTTGCCTCAGTTTCCTCATCTGTAAAATAAGGATAATAATAATAATACCTGCCTCTCAGGGTTGTTGCAAGCATCAAATGAAATAATAATTGTAAAAGTGTTTAACATGGTGCCTAGCACATAGTAAGCACTATGGAAATGCTATTATTATTAATCCAATAACCATTTATTAAACATTTACTACATAAAAGGCACTCTGTCAAATCCCAGGGAACACAAAGACAGAACAAAAACATTCCCTGACCAAAGAGTTTATGTTCTACTATTGGGGGGTATATTAGCAGGTAAAGGAATTAGTTTCTGTTAACCCTACCTCTGGACTCACCCTACCAACTCACAGTAGCACTGGTGGATTTGGTTTCTAGGGTGTCTGAATGCTTCTTTTCTCAGTTTTCTAGGGGTAGTTTTCTGGTACTGTCACTCTTAAGCTCCCATTTGATGTGTTCTCCATTGATTACCAATTAGCTAGCCAGAGTTAATTAGTTTTTAGAAAAGGTATCTACTGAGATAGTATAGTTAGATCAGTTAATACAAAGAAAGACCACACCACCAAAATTCCCACAATTACACACAGGGTTCACGGGAAAATTGGGCTCAAGCTTAGAGAATAAATGAGGCCAAATGGGGTGACATATGGTTTCAGATTACTCGATCTCCTTTTCTCCCTTCAGGCAGTGTTCATGAAGTTCCGTTTAGTCGTAATTGTGCTGGGCTCCTCTTGTGGAATACTAAAGTAGTTTATACTTTTAATTGATTAACTCAATACAGGTGTCTTGGA